ATAATATGCCAAAAAGTAATGAAAGTGTTTCATGATAACTATTATTATATATAATATGCAAAATATAAAGTATTATAATTATATTGATCTAAAAATTTCACATTTAAAATTATATCAACCCCCAGACATTTTTTCAGGTGCTATCCAATTCACTATGTCCCTTGTATTTTCAATGAATATAGTATTTTGGTCTGTTTCATGAGAATATCGGAAATTCGCAATTTTTGGTTGATGTCACATGGTCATCTAATAGTTAATAAAAAGAAAGAAGATTATAATCAAAAAAAAACACAAGTCTAGAAAACTTTCTGAAAAATATAAAATTTACCATAATGTTTTTGCACCTAATATCATAATGAAGGATATCACAACTTTGTAAAAATATCAAACCTCAACAAATATCTAAAGCAATGTGAACTTTTTCATTCCAATTAATATCATTTTTTTCATATAATTTTTTGAGATTTCCTTTATCCGCCTATTCAAACACCATAACTTGGTTATCATTCACATTAGAGAGCCCATAGAATCTTAAAATATTTGGACACTCTTTTAATTTTCCTAAAATTACAAGTTGCGCTTGAATCTTTTAACTTCCTGATGTCTCGTTGTTTATGATGTTTATAAATTTGCAAGCAACATCATTCCCTCAGTATAACTTTTTAACAATAGATTTTTTTGTTTCCATGTTGGGAAGATCATCTAACTCTTTTGGATTAATTTTAATTGTTTTCAAGTTTATCATATTATTAATAGGATCATGAATTAAATAATCCACCTTCTTATTAATGATTTGTACTTCATTAATAACTGTGTTGATATACGACTTCATGTCTGTAATACCTCTAGCAATTATTTCCAGAAACTAAAAAATACAAGATTACTTATATAGTGCAAAATTTTAAGGTATTCATAATTTTACTTGTTTCATTTCTTTAATGTCACAATTGAGGTTTTTTTCGTCTAATTTTCTTTGTTATTCATTAGAAATAGTTATCATAAAATGTAAATTATCCATGCTTTTGTCGAATTCGGAAATCAATTGTGTAAAAGTTTCATAAACTGAATTTGCCAATATATATTTCTTCCAGCCTGACAAGTTTGAAATGTCATTCATGAAATCTTTCATTTTCTTTAATACTTCCACAAATCGATAGAATGCTTTATGATCACAAATTCTAGGTTGGAGTTGTAAAATTTCAACATTGGTCTTTGCAATATTAACTCTAATCA